TAAATAAAAATGAAAGGCCCTTACAGAGAGCCTAGCCCCATTCGAAGGGTTAAGCCTTTGACTTGGTCAACAGCCCCTAGAGTGCTATTAATTCTACACAGAATTGGGAGACTCATGGTTTTATATCTGTCTTAGAATAGCTAAAAGTAGTTTATCTGCATAATTTAAGGTGATGTTTATTGATGCCATGGGGTATTTTAGGGCCAATATTGTTTCTGCAGAACATTACCACCCAGCTGTTCTGCCAGCTAGTGACAATCTGTTTAAAAATACCAGGGAGCATGAAGTCTGTAGTCTGTAAGCATGTGTGTGTGTAGTCCAAAACCTCTGTAAAAATAACCTTCAGGAATGGCAATTCTCCAGGAGCACAGTTTTAGCCAGCTAAGATATGAACAAACAATCAAGGCAGCTAGGTATTTAATATTTCAGATTTAATGTGTGCTGCTAGCATAGATAAATATTCAGATTGAATTTGGTTAGGGAGATCAAACCCCCTTTAAAAATGTGTTCACATTGTGCAAATAAAATTTGATTCTTTTATTTTAATTTTTGCTATCCTAGCTTCTGCACCATGAGCTGTGATATATTTGTAATGCTCTGGCTGACTGAAGCTATTTTATATATATTGATATCTCTCCAGTCAGAAAAGCAGATGCAAAAAAGTTTCACCCCCTGCTTTCTGTTAGGCTGTGGGCGCCATTGCTACACCATACAGAAGTGGAGGTTACAGACCGTCCCAACCTGTTGTATCATTTGAATGTACACTGTTTAACTATTGCTGCATTTCAGTGGTGGGTAAAGGTCTGCCAATTATTTTGGCCTTCTTTGTGATAAATGACAATGTAAATGAAAGATTTATCACCATTATTACTATCAACTCTGAAGACTACACTGTGTAAAGGAGAAAGTATCACTTATATAAATTCCAATCTCCCCGTTTATTGCAACTGACGCAACTGACACTGAGTGATTACATCATTAGTAAGGCTCAGTTTACACAAAACCTATTGTTGACTCAAACAACCCAGTTACACATGGTTAAAAGGTAGAGGCAAGACCTAGCCCCATAACTAGGTTAAACGATTGGACACAAGGCTCTCCACTGAGGGAGAGATACCCCCAAAATAAGGATGCACTTGGTAAATAAAGTTAGGCTTAGTGTGGGATTGATTCCACTGGCACAAAGACTAGATAGATGTGACTGGCAGGGATGGTCTTGATAATACTATCCCTGCCTCAGTGCAGGGGACTGGACTAGATGATCCATCGTGATCCCTTCCAGTCCTACATTTCTATGATTCTCTATGATTCGATGACTGCCCAGGGTTTTACCATATTAGGTAGCTATGGTTAAGTCCTGTCCACACTACAAATTCTAATCGAGCCATAAGGAGATCCAAAACACACTGAAACTAGGCCTCCTCACTCAGTTACAGGGCCTTATGCACCTCTCCTCTCTAGATTCCTCTTGGAGCGGATCGCTTATAAAAAACAGATAATACATTTTCTTCTGAAGCCATGGGCTGCGCATTAAAAGAGTCAAGTCAAGAGCTCTACTCCCAGCCCTCTTTCCCTGGCTACCCAGGCACCCCCTTCCCTGGCTGTTGTGCTCAGACCCCCTAACAGCAAAACACGGGCTCACTTTAAATGGCAGTTTGCTCTGATGTGAGCCACTATGTGACAACTTCTGTAAACTCAGTGTGGGCTTGAGATTGGCTGGCAAGAGCTGTAGGAAGGGCAGCTGATTATAGCAGCAGTAGTATTAAAGGGAGTGCTCAATCCACAGCAGGAATACTTGCAGGAGAGGGAGCAAACAGCATGTTTACAGAATCCTACTGAACAGGGAGAGATGGCAAACACCCCTAGGGACACAAAAATAATATTAAAAGGGACCTACAGAGATTAGCAATACAAGCAAAAAACAACAAAATGTATTTCAGCTCAGGAAAATGCAAGCTATCACCACTAGAGAACACCACTTCAACACATTCTACCCATATTCTACCAAGTTCTAGGTTTCTCAACATAGATTCTTTACCAGAGTCGCATTAACGATCAACACTATAGTCAACTTCACACAGGCATCAGCTCAGGAAAAGTTATGAAAGAAAGAAAGAAAGAAAGAAAGAAAGAAAGAAAGAAAGAAAGAAAGAATTAATTCACTAGTCTGGTAAGCTACAAATGTTGAACTTCTAACAATAGTCATTTTAGTCTGTTTTACAAATAAAGCAGAAGCCTGTGCATATGGTATAGAACTTGAACTCAAACTATCTTCAAGACAACTTCATATTTTACTGAGGGATACAAGTAAGACTGAGTAACTGATTGAAAACTTCCTACCTGCACCAACTCACTGCTCCCATAATTATTTCCTCTATCCCATTGTTAAAATAAAGTACACTGTTGTACGCCATTACCAATTCCCATGGTATGTCGCTGATCAGTGTGACTTTATGAGAGGCCTGGCTATTGCTCAGTAATGTAACAGCACGCAGATGAAAGTTTTCTGGCTTAAAAACTGGATTGGGGTTCTAATACCCTGTTTTTTCTATGTTGAATAGCTAGTTATGTTGGGCCACAGAAATGCAACTACAGAATTCCTTTGATTTCCCTGTTCTGTATGTCTCAACAAATTAGAGACTAATGAGCTTTCTTCTTTTCTGGCTATGGTTTTTGACATCAGCTACAGTGACCATAGTTCCCAAAGGGAAAACAGGACACCACACAGAGCTGATGTGAGCCCCCCACCCCAGCCGCTTTCCAGAGCCCCCCGCAGAGCTGGCCCCGGCTGCTTGGTGGAACCCTGTTGCCCGGCTGCTTGGTGGAACCCTGTTGCCCTCCCCCCCATGTTGTCGCTCGTCGCGCAAACCCTGCCAGCCTCCCGCATGCTGGAACCCTGCCTGCCTCCCTGCGCAGGGCTGGCATCCCACTTGGTCCCCCACCCCCACCATGTTCCTCTGACCACACTGCACCCCACTTTTTTGACAAAAAAAAATCGGACGGCCAGGAGAGGGCTTAAAAAAAAGGGACTGCCCTGGCCAAAATGGGACATATGGTCACCTTAAGCTAACATAACAAAGGAGGCCCACTGACCTTCATGTACCTCAAGCCACCACATCTGCACTTGGTAAGGAGCTGGTGAAGATCCACAATAAAGTTAACATAAGTAGAAGGAAGCATGAGCATATGGGATGGCATTGGACTGGCAATCAGGAAATCTGGGGTCAGTTCTCAGCTCGATAACAGACTTCCTGTATGACTTAGGGCAAGTCATTTCATCTATCTGTGCCTTGGCTACCCACCTAAATAATAATAAGGTGAGTAGATTTTCTATAAGATTTTATTCCAAGCAAAGTCCAATGCACATAAGATCCAGTTACCTGTGTGTTGGTCTACCACAAAGGACACAGGATTCTAAGTGTTCAAGTTTCTCAGCCACAATAAACAAAAAGAAGCAGCAATGGAAGAGAGATTCACTTGCAACCAGCATCTTTTTGATCCAAAATTAAGAAATGGTCATGAGCTTTCCTCCTCAAAAGGCTAAAGCAATAGCTGTGCTAACTCACCTGATCTGTCTCTTTATTTTTAAAAATATACACCAGTGATTACATCAGCCCGTACATTGATCCCTTCAGCTAAGATAAGCTCATCCCAAGCTGGATCCTTGTATGAACCTGACAAACCTTGCTCAGATAAGAAATTGTCAGTCCTGCTGGCAAGGAGAGCAATTTCAGCCTTAGTAAGATTTCCACTAGGCACCACATGAGAGTGGGGGAGGGTACTTCATTAGATCAGTTGCTTCTGGAAAAAGGGAGACGAATTTGTCTGCCCCATCCCCATTAAGTCAGTGCTGTGCAGCAGCTCCTAAGTGTATGTGATTTTACTGCATGAAGTCTAAAGTGATCTCCCTGCTCACTATCATCACCGGACATCATTGTGGCCAGTGCAGGAAATACTTTTAAAAAGAGGAAACCCAAATACTGTAATTTGGGTAAATACAGTAACAAAGGTAAAGTGCCTACTCCCAATACAGTCAATGGCAAAGCTTCCCTTTACTTCAGTGGTGCAGCATGGGGCCCATAGTTTTAGTTTGCTACTTGTTTCAGCTAAACAAGTTCATCATGATCCCTGTACATGACATGTCTGTTACATTCTGTTCATCACTACAATAAAACAAGATCTTAATCTAACATTACTAAAGTAGTGGTTTAAGACACTGTATTTTTGCCTGACCTGAAAAATAAAACTTTTTATAGAAATTGCTGGTAACGCAGAGAGAGTTTTAGGTTGTGAGTGGGTTTAAAAGAACCCCATTAAAATTATTCTCTTGCTGAGAATCTGAAAGTGACTAATACAATAGAATCACAGTGAGCCTTGAGTGTGTAGTTGTAAAAAAAATAAGTGAAGATATCAAAAAATCAGGGAATTTCCATCTATCCAAAATAATTATTATTCTCACAATGGGGCTACGTAGAACAGGTAAAGCCCAGACCGCAGCCATGTGCATCCACTGTACTCTGACACAGGATTAAAGACAACCTGGCCCACAGGTATATTCTAAGAAGCACTGATAGCGATTGCTCTCCATTCCCCCTTTCAGCACTGGCTCCAGTTACACTGCTTATTTAAATGCCTTCAATCTGTGTACATACACACCCGTCCAGTCCTCCTCACACAAATGCAGACACTGCCAGCAGAGAGGCGCACGCAAGAACATTTTTCACACAGACACTGCTCCCTGGAGTCTCAGACTAACCAGGTCCGGCAAAATATGGGGAGAGAGAGAGAGAGAGACAGGCTTGTCCCCCTCCGCTGAAACTGACAAGGAGAGTTTTGCAATTGACAAGTGATGAAACTGTCCAGTTGCTACCCCGACTCCCTCCCCTCACTGCCGCATCAGATCTACTCCCTGGCTTTGTTTTAAACGAGCTGCCTTTCTTTTCCACCCCAGACGGAGTTCTGCAGAGCAAGCTGGCAAGGTAACAAAGCAAATGACAGACCTTCTCTCTCGCCTTTTCTGTGCTGGGGAGGGAGCGTTTCCTCTCCCTGGCTTTGCCCGTCGCCGCTTGGCAGGAGGAGGCGAGCAGCCCAGACGCTTCCTCAGGGATGCTCCAGCTTCTTTGCCGGCTCTCTCTTGAGGCGTTGCAGGATCTCGGAGGGCTCATCTGCTCCACATTGCTCGGGCCGGTGGGATTCTTTATTTTCAAAAAAAAAAATTATCTAGATTATTATTATAATATATTCTGGGGGCTTGTGGTTCCTGCAAGCAGGCGGAAGTGAAACCCTTCCCCCTCCCTCCTTCCTCTGAGCTCAGCCCAGCGGAGAGGAGAGAAGGGGTGATTCCCAGTCGCCGCGCCGAAGGGCAGGCGATTTCCCATCCGCGAGGCGAGCGGGAGCCTGCCAGGGTGGGGATTTGTGTGTTTAAATCTGCACACGCGGGGGCGGGGGGGTCACATTAGATTGCAGGGTGTTTCCTGCTGCAGACTGGGCACTACGGAACCAAAAGCGCCTCGGGCGTGATTCCCAGGCGCCTGTCCCAAGGCAGGGGCTGCTCGCCCGGCAGCCGGGCACGTGTCCCGCTCGCTCCGCCAGGGCCTGCAGGGTCCCAGCTCCCCTATCGCCTCCTCCGGGCGCCCTAACCGGAGGCGGCCTGGGGCGAGCTGCGCTGAAGCCCGCGAGCCGGGGCTAGCCGAGCCCCCTGCAGGCGCGGGGGGATGTTCCTCTCGCTTTCAGTCCATCCACCGCCCCGCCGCAGGGGCGCTTCCCGGCCCAGCCCCTTCCCCAGTGCGGCAGGCGGGGGAGGAGGAGAGAAGCCAAGAAAGGGGAGGGGGGTTTCGATCTATTTCACCCCCCTGCCCTAGGTAAAGTCTCCCCAAGAAGGGAAGTGGGGGGGGACTTGGGGGGCTTTTCGCACCCCTCGCTGCCTGCAGGCTGAGCTCCCAGCGGGAGTGGGATGGGGAGGGCGGTTTGCCTTCTCCACCCCATCCAGGATTTAGGGCCCCCTTTCTTCTCCCGGGGAGGGGGGGGGGGGCTCCCGCTGCAGCCGGCCGGGCGAAGAGCAGGCACCGTGCCCCACCGCCCTGCGGAGCAGGTGCAGAGCCCAGCTGCTACGCCGAGGCTGCCTGTTGGCAGGGCCAGGGGGGCGCAGCTGGACGCAGCCCGCTCGGCTCAGGCCTCGGGGCCGGGCGAATCTCAGCCAGACAGCGGGAGTCCCCCAGCCGCAGCCGGCTCGGAATAAGAAAGGAGCGGCCCAGCCCTGCTCAGAGGCACGGAGCGAAAAGCACAAACAGTAGATCGGGAGGCTGCCACCGCTTCCCGGCTGCTGAACTGCGCTCCGAGTGGTCCCGCTGCGCCCGCTCTGAGCCAAGTTAAGAGCCCGGGTAGCACCTGAAGCCGCGGGACACCCCTGTGACGAGGTATTTAAATAACACGTGGAGATTGTCGTGAGCTGTGTGACAAAGGGCAGTCCCCTTTTCGGACGTCCTGGGCCTATTCTCTCGTACAAGTCCCGTGGGTGACAGGCTGTTAGAGAGGAAAAACACACCCTTCTCTCTCTGTGCGCCTGCCTACAGACAGAACTCTGAGACAAGCATCGATAGGAAGGGACATTTTCAAACAATTCATGATTAAAATATAAATCCATCTACCTCTTGCTAATTCTTTGTATGGTTTCTTGGGTGCTGTGTTAAATGTTTTCGATGCACAGGTAGTTTCCTCCAAAAAAAACATGGTCGTGTCTAGGGACAACCCAGAAGAGGGCTCCCATGTGCTAGGTACTGTACAAACACAGAGAGGGGCAGTTCCTTCCCCAAAGAGCTTCAGTCTAAATCAGGGGCGGGCAAACTTTTTAGCCTGAGGGCCGCACCGGGCTTCCGAAATTGTACGGAGGGCCGGTTAGGGGAGGCTGCGCCTCCGCAAACAGCCAGGCGTGGCCCGGCTCCGCCCCCCGCGGCCCCCTCGGGACTCTTACCCCATCCAACCCACCCTGTTCCCTGACGCGCCCCCCCCGAACCCTGCCCCATGCACCCCCCCCTGTCCCCTGACCGCCTCGGACTCCCCCCCCAACTGCCTCCCGCCGCCCCATCCAACCCCCCTCTCCTTCCTGACTGCCCCCCAGGACCCCTGCTCCATCCAACCACCCCTTCTCCCTGACTGCCCCCGGACTCCCCGCCCCTAACTGCCCCCCACCCCTGACTGCCTCCTGCCGTCCCATCCAACCCCTCCTCTCCTTCCTGACTGCCCCCCTGGAACCCCTACCCCCATTCAACCCCCCTGTTCCCTGCCCTCCGACCGCCCCGACCCCTAGCCACTCCCCTGCCCTCTATCCAACCCCTCTGCCCCCTTACCGCGCTGCCTGGAGGACCGGTGGCTGGCAGCGCGGCTGCACCACGATAGGCAGCCGCGCCGCCAGGCTAGAGCCAGCTACGCACCGCGCAGCACCGAGCACCGGCCCAGAGCATTGCACCGGTGGCGCAGTGAGCTGAGGCTGCGGGGGAGGGGGAACAGCGGGGGAAGGGCCGGGGGGGTAGCCTCCCGGGCCGGGCAAGAGGGTCCCGCGGGCTGTAGTTTGCCCGCCTCCGGTCTAACTAGCCGGGACAGACACACCGATAGAGGAAGGGGTAGACACGCACAGCAGAGCGCTTAATGACATGGCTGCAAACTTGATGTTAATTGTACAATCAACCACGAACGATTGTACATGTTTAGACACACTCGGTGCTATGTTTCATTGCTTCAGGACGTTGGGTGAAGAGGCGCCAATCTGCAACCGAGGCACCCAAATACCCCTGAAAATCTGGGTAACATTTTCAGAACCACCCAAGTGACCCATCCTCAGAAGTGACCCAGGAACCCACATCTCACTGCAAGTCAGTGCTACAGGGTCATCAAAAGATCAAAATGCTTTACAGAACAGTGTTCCATACGCTGCACATACATTTTCTGTCCACGCGTGTGTGCAGTGCTTCAGACAAATGGTTCGGGGGTCTGTTCTTGGCCCCGATCCTACTTCTCAGAGCAGTAAAGTTAAGTTCTTAATTCTTCTGTGCCTTCTATGATTTCCCTTGCGAAGGAGCAAGTCAGAGAAGTTGAAAGAGATTAAGTTACATGCAAGTACTGGAATAGTGTAGGAGGGAAGATTGTAAAATACAACTAACTACAATACCTTCTGCTAGCTCCCTAGCGACATCCTGTGGTGCAGCTGCTGCATGATCCATTCATTTGTATAATTTATTTGGGGCCTAATTTTAGCCTGCAAGCACTTGAGTGGTAACTTTACTCCCTCAAGTGGTCTCATTCACTTAAGCTGCTGGGTGCTCAGCACTTAGGAAAATCGGACTGTTTACTCAGGTGCCTGAGTATTTTGTCCTCTGGTTTATGCCATTCACAGACTGCTCAATTTCCAAAAATTATTAGCACCCACATTCCATGGTGACCAGCACCTTATAAATATGCAAAACCTCACACAGTATGTGTGTATATGTATAATTTCAACTGGCTTTATGCTAGGCTGAGGAGAGAGATGCTAACTGATCCACTAACCACAGCAGAACATACTCAGGGTAGGAGTCACAAAGATACTTAGGCACTTGAGTCACATAACAACTCACAAAATTCCGCTCAGCTGCCACCTAACCCTGGAGATGCTTAAACTCACTCCAGCCCTATGTTTTTCTCCTCTGGGTCTGCACACTGCAGACTCACTATGTGCTTGGACAGCCTCCTTCTTCTTAAGCCCCAGAGCAATTCACAAACCAGGAAAGAGGAGTGTTCAGCTACCCAAGACACATATGGGGGCCTGATCTGGTAGGCAGCCTCTGACCACACCCTCCCTTATAGTCATTCGACTAGTGGCTAGGGTACTCACCCAGTATGTAGAGACCCCTGGTTCAAGTCCTCACTCCTCCTGAGGAGTGAATTCCTCTCAGCCTCTCAGGTGAATTCCCTAGCCACTAGCTATGGAATATTCTGATCTGGGTCTCCCTCAATCTCTCTTACTGAAGTTGTTCCACCTTAAACAATGGAATACCAAATAATAATTGAACCAGAGAAAGAGTTGTTTACACCATCCTACCGCACATGATCCAATGGAATATAAGGCAATAAAATGAAATCAATAGTTACAGCATAAGTGTCCAGTACATCAATTGCCATCTCAGTGACTGATCCAGAACCATCATTAGGCACTCAGTGAGATATTAAAAAGAAAAGGAGTACTTGTGGCACCTTAGAGACTAACCAATTTATTTGAGCATGAGCTTTCGTGAGCTACAGCTCACTTCATCGGATGTAGTGATGCTGATGAAGTGATAAAGTGAGCTGTAGCTCACGAAAGCTCATGCTCAAATAAATTGGTTAGTCTCTAAGGTGCCACAAGTCCTCCTTTTCTTTTTGCGAATACAGACTAACACGGCTGTTACTCTGAAACCTGAGATATAAAAGTCCAGAATCTGGGCATGGACTAAGTCTTCCTATAAGTGTGTATATAATAGACTAGTACAAAAGGGGGGTCGGGGGGCTCCAATACTGACTGGTGCTTCTGGATGCTACTGCAATACAAATACCAAATAATAAAGTATACACAGTATAAGAGCATTCGTCGTATCTACTTATTATGATCGTTTATACCTTCCTAGATATAGAGGAGAACTGAAAGGCCATCAGTGACTAAGCCACCATCCCAGCATACTACCATATATTAAATGTCCATGAGTTCTCTTAAGTGAATGGGGTGGTACTGAATGAGGACAAGTAGCATATGCCAACTGACGACACATGGAGAGTCATGAGGCTTTAATAGCAGGTCATGACAGGTGGCTCATGTTTTGTTTGCCCGTTTTGAAGTGCTGTTTCTTTTTCATTTTCTCAGTTTGGGTGTTTTGCTCTGGAATTCAGCAACTGACATTTTATTTACTAATCCCCAGAGGAAATGAATGTGCTTAGGAACCATGAGCTGAAAGGAAAAAAAAACAAAACACGGCTGCATTTGAAATAATGACAAGAAAGTTAATGAAGACAAATTCCTCTCGAAGTTAGGCAATTTTTATATCATGCTACTGATATCCTTAATGAAGAATGATGCATTTATTCACCATCGTGTATTTTTACTTTAGCTTATGCTGTATAATAATAAACATCTGCTTACTAAGTTAGTGAGTAGAATGATGGGTTAGCAACTCACATTTCCACAGCAGGTCAACTCCTAAAGCTTTGTTCAGGTGCAGCTAGCAGCCTGTTGTACTTGTGGGAAAGGACTGTTCAAAAGTGGAAGTGTTCCAGAGAGCATGTTCAGTCCAGCTGGGTTGTTCTGAAAAATCCAGATGAAAGATTCAGAGATGGCAACCCAGTTTGGGGATCCAAGCAGAATGTTACAGTCCGAGTCAAGAAACAAGGCTTAATCTGAAAGCACCCTTTAGCATGTGTCACTTGTATAAGGGAATGATGGCAAGTGAGTGAAATGAGGTAGAAAGCAATGGTAAGATTGCAGACTTTTCACAACCTAAAGGAAGAGGGAAGAGATTTTTTTTGCCCATCACTGGACACCAGCTGCAAAAGATGTAATGGGAAATGCCATGGTTACTTTTTCAGGCACTAAGCCTGCAAAACATTT